CCAGCATGGCTGGCTGGGGAATTCTGGGAGTTGAAGTCCACCCATCTTAAAGTTGACAAGGTTGAGGAACACTGAGTTAGCATGAGGCTTGCTGATTGATCCTGATCCTTGCCAATGAATATTTTGCCCTCAGTTCAGGGGAGCGAGCACCACATTCAGAAAGTCCTGCCAACTTTTTGGATAATGGCACAGTAGAACCAGAAGGCCTTTTCCCTGATGTCTTTCCCCTCTGCCCCCCTTCCTCCCCAGTGCTGCGGTGCCTGGGCATCGCCACGCGGACGGTTACCAATTACAACTCGGCGCACGACACGGACGTCAGCCTCACCATGGACATCTACTTTGACGAGAATATGAAGCCGCTGGAGCATCTCAACGCCGACTCGGTCTGGTGAGGAAATGATGCCTCCTCCTCCATGGGTGCTGGGGAGGTCAAGATGGAGACATCTCAAAGTCTGTTTCACTGAACGCTTGATCTTGCTCTTTGGGATGCAGGAATTTCCACGTCTGGAATGATTGTTGGATGAAGCGGCCGGACCTGCCTTCAGGGTTTGACGGGTGGCAGGTGGTGGATGCCACTCCCCAGGAGTCCAGCAGTGGTAAATTGGGATGGGGGAAAGATGTCCTATCAAATGGGAGTTTCAACCCCGGAACCACTGAGAAGGTTCTAGATGGGAAGTGGGAAACGTGGTGGAGGATTCAGGCTCTTTTGTCTACCCATTTCCTTTTGCGCGTGGCCCACCTTCCATCTCTCCCAACAGGCATCTTTTGCTGTGGGCCCTGCTCGGTAGAGGCCATCAAGAACGGTCTGGTCTACATGAAATATGACGCTTCCTTCTGCTTTGCTGAGGTATTTCCTTCTCTTAGCGTGGAAGAAAAGCAACCATGATGGGGCACGGTTGAGATGTAATCAGTCAGGCATGGTGGGGTGAAAATTGGCAGAAGGGCTCTCTCCCAATAGATCAGGGGTCATCCTGAATGGATGGAAAGTAATTTAGAAGAGGCAAAAGAAACCATAGGCTCGTAACTAACCTGGGGAGTTCATGAGCACAAGACCATGTTGGCCAGTAACCTGGATTGCTTTAAAAGGAAGGTGGCTACATTCATGGAGGAAGATCTACAAAAGACTATTTGTCTTGAAAATTCAGTGCTACCTCCAGGCTGGGGTCAGACACCTCCAAATCCCACTTCCAGGGAACAATGGCAGAAGAGGGGTGTGTCTCTAAGAGCACCCCAAACATCTGGCTGGCCACTGTGAGAACCAAACGCTGGGCTAAGACAGCCTTTGGCCTGATCCAGCAGTTTTCCTAGAACAAGGCCTTAGTCTGGGTGCCCTCTTGGTGCGTGGACTTTAACTCCCAGAATTCTCAAAAGTGGCCATACCAGCTGGGAATTCTGGGAGCTGAAGTCCACCCATCAGGAAAGGAACTAGGATGGAGAAGACTGATTTAGAGTACTTGGTTCAGCACTTGGGACAGCTCCAAAGAAGGCAGACGTTGTCCTCGCCATCACCATGACAAACCTATGAGGATACTATCCATCTTCAGTCTCAAACTGAACTGGGTCCCTGCTCAGATTTCCAGCACAAAATGGTTAAGATCTTCAAGCCAGAGATGAGGAGTAAAGAGTCATAGCCCTGCTCCTAGACACAATCGTGATCCAAGACGCACTTTGAGCAAATGGTGGGATTGGTGACAGTTTGTCTTCTCAGGTGAACAGTGACAAAGTGTACTGGCAACGCCAGCCAGATGGGAGTTTCAAGATTGTCTACGTAGAGGAAAAAGCCATCGGCCATCTCATCAGCACCAAGGCGGTAGGGTCCCAACGGCGCCACGACATCACGACCCTTTATAAGCATCCTGAAGGTAAGACACTGCTGGTTGGAGGAGGGTTGGGACTGTGGTGGCGTAGCAAAGAAAGAGAAATCTAGAGTTTCTTTTTTAGGTGGATTTATTGAAAAAAAGGAGCCAGCCCCTTCTATTTCGTGCTTTTACTCTGACACCCCAAGGCTGATCTATTTCTGCTCCACCTGAATTTCCAGCAGAGGTTTGGGATCTCAGAGTCGCAGCAAATGTGCTCATGGCAGGGCCTCCCAACTGTAACTATTAAATGTTTCCAACCGCTTTTCCTTTTGTAGGGAGATGTTTTTTTCAAAGAGAGTTTTGGTGGCTATAACAAATCTGAATAAATTTGAATCAGTAAATGAAAAAGAACAAGGTGACTCAGGAGAATCCAAACATCACCCGTTCTCATTCTAAAATTGTTTTAAATTAAAATAAAATGGTGCTTTCTCCACACACGCGCGCGCACCTCCACGTTCTTAAATTTCTGGCGGAATTTGAGAAAGGAGCTCTAGACAAATAATAGCATCCCTCACTGAGTCCCCTCTGTCTGACAAATATATCTGATCAAGCAAATCGTCTGCCAGGGACATTTAACTGCCTGAAATGGAGCAGCAACTGGTGGTCCTCTGCATCTTAAAGAAAGTACAGAGTTCCCAGTCGAGCTATTTTGGCGCCAGAGATAAAGAATTGCATGGATATTTTTCCCTCGGTAGCATTAAAAAAATGTAGTATTTTTAAATAACTGATCATTTCATGCCTTACTGTGAACTAGTCGACTGCTTGAAATGGCCATTTCGCTCTACCTAACGGTAGGGCCAGCCACTCAGAAGAGTCCTAGTAGTTCTGGGTCCTGCCTGGGCAAGGACAGTCCCTCTAGGTAGACCAGACCAGAATCTCAACCCCACAGGAAGGCTAAAACTCCTTTTATTGAGATGGGCTATACAGGTAGTCCTCGCTTAACAACCATTTGTTTAGTGACCATTCAAAGTTACGACGATGCTAAAAAAAGTGTGATGGACTGGAATTATGGAGGCCAGAATCGGGGAGTGAAGAATCCTCTTTCGTCTCCCGAAGCACGGG